CGAGCAGACTTTACTCCCTTGAGCATTGAGAAGAAGAAATCTATAGTTTCTGGAACACGCAGACAGGAGATTGGTGGTTTCTGGAGGTGGTGGTTTGATGTCGGGGACACGCTGATGTCTTTATCCTTGAGCGTAGAAATCTGTAGATTCTGGAACACGCAGAATTTTGAGATTTCTGGAGGTGGTGGTCTGATGTCGGGGACACGCCGACGTCTTTATCCTCAAATGTAGAAATCTGTATATTCTGGAACATGCAGAAACTGAAGATTTCTGGAGGTGGTGGTTCGATGTCGGGGACATGTTGACGTCTTTTCTTTGAAGTTAAAGTTCCTGGAAATCTGGGACACGCGGATTTCTGGAGGTGGTTGTCTTGAAGATATGATTTCAGGCGCCTTGGAAAAAGCACTGTGAATCCAATTACCAATTCCTTGCTGGAACACGCAGCAAAAGTTCTGATATCTAGGACAGAACCCCGCAAACCGCCCTGAACCACCCTGAACCACACTTTTACCACTCTTTGGCCACACTTGACCACACTTTTTGACACATCAACTTTCTCTTTGTTTAAGAGAATGTCTTTTAATACTTTCTCTGGAAGGCGGGATTGAAGGATGTCACCTTTCAAATCCAGCATTGTGATTGGATGATCCTGTGAGTTGGTCACTGGGAGGTGTCATCCATAATGTGGCCTGCATTTGCATAGTCATAGTCCACCGGTTAACTATTATAATATTTAAGAGTCTTAAATATTTTCCTATGCATAATTCACTTTCCAAACCACATCTAATTTACCCAAGGCGTTATTTGCAATAGATAGAGTCTAAACATCGCTATTTAATGTTGATCTTTACTCAAGCATTCATATATAAACCTTTAAAAGCAAAGTTTTATACAGTGGAGTATTTGAAGCAGTGCATATTAAATATATACATGATCAATTGAATCTACAGGTATATGAAGTGAAAGTTTCCATTTGTGTCTCTTTTGTGAAATGTTTTCTGATCCATGTGTCTCTGTGTTTGAGACAATGTCGAAGGTTGATTGGATCAAGAAGCGGTTTTGCAAGTTCTGGGCTCTTAACACCTTTGTCTTTCAGATAAACAAAAGACAGATGGTCACTGCTTAAATTGCCACTTTCTGATGAGCTTAAGAAAAGGGTTGACTGTTGCCTCACTTTGCCGGCGTTTCTTTGTACTGTTGCCTCAGCCTCACTTCACCGCCACTCATAATGTTAAAGTGTAGAATGATGGTCAAGCGCCCCCTAACTTTAGAGCATAGTGATTGGATATTTACTCGTGGGGAGGAGTTTCTTTATCTCAGCTCATGGATTTAGAGGCACACACAGTTAATTCAGGCAGATATGAAACACATAAATAATTTAAATGCATAACCGAGAAAACCACAATTTACAAGCGCGTATTGAACCGTGGATGTTGTGTTGTACGGTTTAATATTATATTGAAAACTGTGGCTTCCCTAGTACTTGAGAAATGCAAAATTCAGAATGCTGACACTTGGAGCACACAGAACTTCATGAACAATTTGTGTAACAGACATTGTATTTGATTTTTAAACTTTAAGTTTAGCAATTTACGCATCCAAAAATAGCGTTTTAAGAGCGGTTTTAACAATTTAGAGCAACTGTAGAAGTGAAAGCCAAAAATCAGGATGCTGTCACTCAGAGCACAGCGCACTTCATGACAAACAAAGCATGTCACATAAAGACAGAATGTGCCAGATATAGAGAACCACTGTTGTAGAGTACCATGTGCTGGTACCTTTCCCATGCCAATGTTTGACCAGTATGTGCATTTTTATGCCAGACTTTGTTCAGGATGAATAAATTCACATAAATTTGTTCTTTCTATGGCTGCAGTATAGCAAGCAATCCCACGCAGCTCTTTGATAAGGTAACAAATTCTCAGTTCTTTCCATGCCATGTATTGGATCTTTGGTGTTTTATTCGGACATGAAAAAAACAGATATGAAAATTTCAGACTTCAGTGTGCAAAGACCTTCTGACGAAATTGAATTTGGTTTTTGATTTTAATGAAGGATCTAATCGCTGCTGCCCTGTGGTTCATTCTGTTGGCCAGAGAGAATAGCAGACCATTTTTCAAAGTAATTTTGAAAGTTTCTGTCAGTTCCATGCTGAGCTGGTGCTCTTTTGGATTTGCTACCGCTGCTCTTATTACTGGCCTCCAGAGGGCCGCGCTATACGATTTGGAGCTGAAATATTCAGCATTACAGAGAAAAGCTGCTGACTGGCAATCAGGCCTGGAGAACTCTACTTCTAATAAGGGATGCCGTTACCCAAGGTGTCTGCTGTCTGTTCAAGAAAATAATTAGTTTGCTGCAGCAAAGCTCAATAAACCTAGAAAAAAAGTGTTCGTTACTATGTGTAATTCTGCATATGTGGAGAAAGTGCTTTGTTGTGAAAACCCTGGAGAAATGTTGTCTATGATGTAGCAGCGGTGAAACATTTCTAGCTCCTCTGTCATCTTCAAAGGTTTGCCTATGTTAGACTTAAAAATCGACCTATGTTCCTGTTGTTATTGTGCATCTTCATATTCTGTAATCAAACAGCCTTAACACGACAGATGGAGCATTTTCAACTCTAAACAGACAAATCAGAACTTTTCACCCTTGATTTATTTTCAAACTTCGATTTCTATGACCCAGTCAACATCAAGTAGGGAATTAGCCAATACAAAGCCATACAAAAAAAAATTATTGAAACTAAGTTGCAAATTTATAAACGTGCATGTTTGAACTAAAACTTGAAAACAAATGAGTGTAAAAAGTGACTTATTGATATTATTGATAGAACTAATAGCTAACTAGAAGACACACAGTGTCAAAATACATTAATATTAGGTTAAATTTAGGTCACAAGTGTCTAAGGGCAATGTTATTTTGATGTCCAACATCGACTTCAAATTACATTGATAATTTGTTGATTGTAGGTTGTGTTGGAAAGTGACCAAAATTCAAATAATGACTTATTCGTCAGGTATGGCAACTAAAACCCAACGTCTGATAGATGTAAAATTGCTAACATCCACAAAACGTCAAGCTGTAACACATTAGATGTTGATATTTTGTTGTTTTTAGGTTGCTTTGGAAAGTAACAAAAATGCAACATCTATTGGACGTTGGACATTGACATCAGCCTGATGTTGGGTTCTGACGTCAACCTGATTTCCATTTCCAAACAAAATGTAACATCTCATGACGTTGGGGTGCAGCAACAGTCTGACGTCATGTTGACATGCTGTGCTTGCTGGGTAACTATTAAAAAGTTCCCTCAAAAGTTGTTGCAAATTGTCCTTGATTTAACAAAAACTAGGAAATCATATAACAGTTCAACTAAAGTTAGACTCAATGTTAAAGCAAAACTAACTGAGTTCACACTGCACGATTTTAACTCTTATTTTTTCTCTCTGATGAGTTTTGTGTAATCTTCATTTTCCTGAAATTGAAGGCAAATCAACGTGAAAATCATGCAGTCTAAATTTTAGGAAAGACTCTTTCAAAGAGAATCACTGACTTGTCGCTGATACTTGTGAAATATTTGACATGTTCAAAAACCTTGACCCGTCGATAATTTAAAATCCTGCTGTTTGAAAGTGAGACAGGACAATGGGGAGTTTGGCGAGGAGTTAGGCCACAATATCCGGTGCATGGATCAGGTTTGGAGAAAGAGAACAGTCAATGTTCTTACTACAATGTTAGACCCAATAAATAATGGAAAGTTTGGAAAACTTTGAAAGGAGCATCCTTGCTGTTTTATTGTTTTGTCTTACCTGTAGCCTACCACAACATCTCCAGTCTTGCACTAGAACTTTTTTTTTAACTGTTCTCATGTGGATTTTGTTCTGAAAAGTGAATTGATCCTAATTGTGTAATTTTGGTGACATATTGTGGTCTTTTCAAAAGAACGTGGAGCTAATAATTCCTATGTGTGAAGGTAGAATGTTAATCAAATTGTTGATTTTATGATGTGTGACTATAAAAATATTAAATGAATAAGCTTTGACCATTAGAAGCTGGTTATATTCAGAGACTAGTGCCACATAACTCTGTTTAACTCTTTATAAAAGTATTTTTTGCGTAATGGGTCCTTCTCTACTTTAAGTAAAAGTAGAAAAGTAAATCACAGCATAATTTTTGAGTGTATGATGATATGACAAGTATTTACACAAACATTTGTTTTCCCTAAAAGTATTTCATACTACCTAGCTATCACTGATGTCAATAACTGTTTACCAGATTGATGTAAAATGCTGTTATGAATTCCAGTAAGTGACAATGTCATTTTATAAATAGAGTCCTGCATTTGTGCCCGACTTTTTGGCCAAACTTTTTTTATGCCCTTAGGGCCGGGCTTTGGGCCAATTTTCACGTCATAACTAGCATGGCTACTAGTGTAGTGTGGCTACTAGTGTAGTGTAGTACTAGTGTGGGCTACACCCACCCAGTTTTTTTTTCCCACCAATTTTTTCTCCACCATCACATCCCTTCCGTGTCTCCGTAGTATTAAATAGAAACATAATACACATTTGCATTTCGGCTTTGTTTTCAAAGAAAATAAAATGTTTTTTACATGGAGATGGTAAAGGTAACTGTGCACCTTTTTTCAAGAGTTTACCCTGTAAATTTTAACTAGCGTAAATGAATTGGAAAAAATACCCGTAAGATTTTTAATTTTTTATTAGGGGAACAAATTAGAACAAAGCAGCCTTCCTCAAACTAAATCTAAAACACGACCATATGCAGGGCTTTATGAAAATCTATTGATGGTGGTATATTTTTAGCTGCTGTTAATAAAATGAAATGCTTTTCATGATGCATTCAATTCCTGATGCATCAAATCCTTACAATATGACAGTTCATGCATGCAGTTTCATGTTGACTTAAAGATTTTTCTCTCTTTTCTTCTTTTTCATTGACTCTCTCTCTCTCTCTTTTTCTCTCTCTCCCTCTCTGTCTCTGTGCAGGCTGGTAGAGAACGGTCAGCTGGAGGTGGCTACAGGAGGCTGGGTGATGCCAGATGAAGCCAACGCGCACTACTTTGCAATGATAGATCAGTTAGTTGAAGGCCACCAATGGTTGGAGAGAAATTTGGGTATGTAAATCATTTTGGGTTATGTAGGAATGCTTCTCATCAATTTTCTGTTTGCTTGAAATAAAACAAACGGTTGATATTGCCACATTTAATCTAAGACGGCAGACACATTTAATTTTTTTTTTAATCTCATAACTGTATAACATCTATAGTCAAAGACAAAAAGGCCATTTCAAGCATCTAAGCAATAAAAGCGTATTACAGCTGTAATCCTCCATCCTCTTAAATTATATTTTGTACTGTTAAATGTTAAAATAATGTCCGGTTCAGCCAAAATAATCATATATTTTAAGCCTATTATTAAAAAAGAAAATGTCCATTAATTAATTATGCTTAACACAGATGAGTGGGATTGACAAACCAACTGTAGAATTACTCTTTGCTCTAAATTCTCAGAGCACGAAAACAGTTCCCTTGTATAATTAGCACTTACTTGTGTATTGTAATGTAAATATAATGTGTATTTATTTATAATGCGCATATCATGTATACACCCAAAACGCTTCTCAATCATGAGGAGGGGGTCTCTCCACATCACCACCAGTGTGCAGCTTCTATTTGTATAATGCGGTGGCAGCCACAGGACAGCAACACCAGTGCGCTCACCACACAGCAGTGTGGAGTGGAAAGACAGTAATAGTCAGTTTGGTGGATAGGGATGATTGTATTGCCCTTTTGTGTTGAATCACTGAATACCTCCTTAATTGTAAGTTGATTTTGGACAAAAGCATCTACTGAAGCAGTGTTTCTCAACCACACTTTTGGGGGACCCCCAACACTGCATGCTTTGGATGTCTCCTTTGTTACACCCATTACAGGTCTTTCAGTCTCTGCTATTGAGCTGATGATCTGAATCAGGAGTGTTTGGTTAAGGAGACAGGGAAAATATGCAGAGCTGGTGGTCCTCCAGGAACGTGGTTGAGAAACACTGGGCTAAACGAATAAGTGTAAATAAAACACTGATTTACAGAAGACAATCAGCCAGAAAGTTTAAATGCCAACAAGATCTTGTCAGGCACATTTACAACAGCAATTTATTTGATCACTCTATTAAGGAATTACAGGTTGACTCCAAAATTCTAATCAAATCTTTATACTTATCTTGTTCTTTATATTTCATACCACCAGGTTTTACACATTAGTCAGGAATATAATGATATTGTATTTGTGACGCATTACTTTTTAACTTGTATAAAATATACAGTTGAATTCAGAATTATTAGCCATCCTGTTTAATTTTAATTATTTCATATTTTCCCCCAATTTCTGTTTAATGAAGAAAATATTTTTTCTGCACATTTATTAACATAATTGTTTTAATAACTCATTTCTAATAACTGATTTTTTATCTTTGCTGTGATGACAGTAAATAATTATATACTAGTTATTTTTCAAGATAAAGCTTAAAGTGACATTTAAAGGCTTATCTAGTTTAACAAATTAATTAGTCAAGTAATTAGTCAAATCATTGTATAACAGTGGTTTGTTCTGTTGCCAAAAATATTGCTTAAGTAGATTACTAATATTGATCTTAAAATGATAAAATAAAGTAAAACTGCTTTTATTCTAGCAGAAATAATACATCATTAAAATAAAAACATCAAAATATAAAGCATAACATGTACAAAGTACTATTTAAATGTTCTTGCTTCATTAAACATATAATAAATAAACACTAATTATTGCTCAGGAGAACTAATTATTTTGCCCTCAACTTTATATAAAGAATAATTGTATGGATTTAACCTTTGATGTGTATATAGAGAATTTTATATAAAGCAGACATGCCATAACTAGAGCCTGCCGGCCACAGTTGGCCCATCGTAACATTTGATTTGGTCTGCCATCCCATCTGAGCAGAGTAGGAAAATGATCGGTGTGGTTAAGAGATTGTCAATTCAAATTTAATGTAGCCCTTTGTGTATTTGTTTGATTTATTGGTATATTATCAAGAGGCAATACCCACTGAAATTAAATGTTTCAATTAAAAGGTGTAAATTAGTCAGACTCTGTTTTAATGTACATACTGTCACCTGACACTGCCAAGATTTTAGTGAGCAAATCAAGTCAAAGGCATTGACCTACTTAGTTTTTTATTGCTATAAGCAAGCATTTTAATAGTTTTACTGCATATAACAAATTAAAGTAATATTTTCCATTTATTTAAAAAAAATTTGAAAGCTTTAATTTAAAACAGTTTGGTAAATTTACCTTCGGCTCACAGCTTCAATGGTATTTGGTTTTTGGCCATTCATACAAAGAGGTTGGGGCATCCCTGAAATAAAGAAACCCATAGGTCTGTTTTACCAGTCAAAAATGGACTACAGTATTTAAATATAGTCAGTGACAGAGTGCAAACATACTTATGCCATAGTCCCACTGCACTTTTCGCCCCATAGACTTCTAGTCACATGCAAGCGAATGCTTCAAACTGGAAACGTAAGCTCGTGCGACAGTTTTCACAGTTCGATACATTGCAAAGTTCAAAGTTGGTGAACTTTGACATGCAAAATCGCATCACATGGCTGCGTGAGACCTATTGAAGATCAAAACCTGACCTCTGTGTACAGAAATGTAAAATATAGCTTGCTTTTTTAAATGTCTAATCATCTTGTTTAATCCCGCCACTTTTTGCAGCGGTTTACATCATAATTTCGCATGCTCCAACTCCAGTGTGACCGCGGCATTAGAGTTTTGTTCTATAACTAAACAAACATGCTAATCAGTGTCTTGAAGATCACTAGAAAGCTAAACAGGCTGGTGTGTCTGATTAGGGTTGGAGCTAAACTTTGGTCATCGAGCCTCCATGGCCAAGTCTAACATAATTTTGCATATTCAAAGTCAAATTCATACATATATTTGCATTCTGGTTTCATCACTCCACTGTGCATTACAAAACAGAACTAATTTCTATTCAAGTCCACCATCTCGAGTCAATTTCAAATGTCTATTTTCCAAATGATTAAAAGTACATTTTAAACCATATCTCTTAAACAAAGTAATAATTGCAAGCATTCATTTAATTTAATTTGGCTTTAACTTTTAGAGTAGTGTCATATTTTGAGATGTGTATTAGATCGTTACTTGAGTGTATTGTTAAACCCCTTCTGTGTACTCTTCAAGGTCTTATGAAATCAAAATTTACCATTTTTTTTTTCTAGCACACACTAGCTATGTTTCTATCCAAAAATGTGAATTAATTTTATGCACAAAACTGGAGTATCGCGTAAAAGGCATGCAAATAAAGCAGCGTTTCCATCCAGCGAGTCAAAGCAAACAAAATCGTCACTTCCTGATTATCTGGTGCTAAATATGAAAAGTAAAAACAGAATTTGCTGCAGTAGGAAAAGCGGCGTGAATCTTGACTTGCGCCTCCAAGGCAATCCTGACATGCTGTGAATATGCGGTGGCTTTGAAGGCATGAAACGCGGAGCACAGTTACTGTTGTATACTCTGTAGGTCATTAATAATATAATAACACTAATACTGAAATGGTTCAGACATTTTAGAATGATTGAAACAACATTTCAGATTTTTTACAATGCGCACAGCCTGCTGGTTTATCCATTCACACACATTTTTTTTCATCACAAGATCTTTTACAAAACCACATGACCTTTTTTAATGCGCACACTGGAATTTGTTCAATAAAAGTGTTTCCATCGTAGTTTATGTGCATCTTTTCTTACCGAATAAAAAGTTTATCCCACTCAGGTATGCACATATGTTTTATTTATGCGCATTTTCAAAATATATACGCATCTTGGCGTTTCCATCATGGTTTATGCGCATTTTGGATAGCTGGATGGAAAACAAAGCTACTGTTATTATTTTAGGTTTACAATTAATTCAAGATTAAGTTAATCCACTAAAAAAAAATCTTTAATCAGAATCTGACCACTTTACACCCATGTTTGGAGTTGTGGTCCTTCTGTTGACGTCAGTTTGACAGCTTCAACCACAATATTCTAAACCACACACCTTATACCATTAGTTTGCTATGAGGGAATTATGTGCAAAAAGAAATCCCCACCTTCTGCTCAATATTCATTTCAGTGGGCTATATATACACAGTTAGTGTGTTTTAGCCAATGATAAACTTCCAGCGAAAGGTTAATGTGACTACTATTAATTTTATAAGGTTTCTTTTACAGTATTGATGTTGTAAAGTAATTAAAATACAATCAGTAGAATAGACTCAGGTATTTATTTTGTTTTTCAAGTTATGGTTGGGTGATGTTGACCAATTTGGCATAGTACGATGTCTAATGTGAAACATTGCGATTCACGATGGCATCACCGTCATAGGCAGAGGTGAATTTATTATTTATGAATAATTAATTAATTGATAAGCAATTAATTATTTGTAGCCTACAGTTTCAACTATCTGACCCGCATGGTCTTTATTTTAACCATAACCAAATCATGAATAAATAAATAAAGATAAGTTACACACAAATTATTTCACTAAAATTACTAAGAACATGCATGAAAGCAGAAGATTGAAGCAGTGTAGTGACGCTGTAACACGTTACCTGATAAATTCAAAAGACAGAAGAGTCATTAGATCGAGACAAGATGAATTAAATATAACGTTTAACGACTATAGTGAGACACAATCCAGCTGTACATCCTTAATAAACTGTCCAACATGCTCTGCTCTTAAAGGCTTTTGTGCTCAAAGCACCTGCTGACTGCTGGGGCTCAGCTAGGACACAGACCTGGGCGTACACTGCAGCACATGACAGAGTATGTGTGTGGCGGGGCGGAGGATTGTGGTGCCGGCTCAGCATCATAAAGTCTATCGCGATAGACATTGGCATCATCTACCGACCCAACCCGAGTTTAAGTGTAAAACAAGATGAAAAACTGTGTAAGCATGAGCGCTGTCAGTAGCAGCAGGTAAGCGCAGAAACTCCATTGAAAATACTGGGGTAAACTAAATAGTTAAATCTGTGTGCATAGAGCCTGTTGGAAGTACATCAACATTCTACAAAAAAAGTCTTCAGAACTTCTAGTTCACGTGGATTTTAACTTGGAAGTAAAGTCAGAAAGACAATAAAATGTTTAACTGAGAAAAAACTTTCCAGTTTTGCTGTAATTTAAGGGAACTGTGGGCGGTCCTAGATTGAACTGGGTAATAAAATCTAGTTTCAGACCAATTTAAATTCTGAATCAAGCTCTGCTTAATATGTAGGTCATGAAACCCAACCTTTTAAATGCAATACTGTAAGGAATTTTAGCTCCTCTACATGTTTATGCTTCCCATATTTGCTCAAATACCTTTGGGAGAATCTTTTTTTTTTTCAATGTTCATTATTAGTGTATTAAAACATGGAGCAAAGCCGTGGCTCTCATTACCACACTTTCACTCTACCATCTGCTCTCCTGATATCTCAGCTGTTGGTGGATCTGTTCTCAAATATAGATTGATCGGAGAGGCAAATACTACAGTAGTCTTTGGCTTTCAGACAACATCTGTTTTTTTTTTGCTGTTAATGCCCTGCAACCGGTATTGCATTTGTGAGAACTGCTGCTGCTGTAATACGGTTTGTTCATTCTCATGTGCTCATGAATAGAAACGCGGGTCTCTTCAAGGTACACGTGTCCTTATGTATGCATCTCCTGCGTTTCTCTGTTCTGCAGATTTCTTCTGTTGTAAATACCCTGCCGATTTCATTCCTAGTTTCATACTTAAAATGGGACTTTGCTGAAAGTCATTCCAGCCAGAAATGAAAATATTATGTTAATTTACGCACTATGACGCCATCCAAAATGTATATGTTGGTTAGTTTTTCTTCAGTAAAACTTTAAAGAAGATTTATTTTAGATGAAACTTTGGTCGTTGGTAATTCATAGAATATAAAAAGATTCAAAATGTGTATTCATAAACGGTGGTGCAGTGGGTAGCACAATCGCCTCTCAGCAAGAAGGTCGCTGGGTCAAGCCTCAGCTCGGTCACTTGGCATTTTTGTGTGGAGTTTGCATGTTCTCCCTGTGTTGGCGTAAGTTTCCTCCGGGTGCTCAGGTTTCCCCTACAAGTCCAAAGACATGCACTATAGGTGAATTTCTGTTGTGGCAACCCCTGGTTAATAAAGGGACTAAGCTGAAAAGAAAAGAAAATGAATGAATGAATGAATGTTATACAAATGTTTTGCAGAATATAACTATTTTCCAACTAAAAAAGGCTACATCTGTCTATTACATATAAATTCACAGAAGCAGAGTAGTTGTGTGTATATAAATATTTGGAATTGAATGTATATTGTGTAAACGAAAGAAGTTTAGATTTGTATGTTTGTACAACTGTACGTGCTTAAGAAACTTGGGCATTTTTAAATTATTTATGGTAAATTTAATTTTGGAAAGAATTGAAGTTAATTTGACCCATTCTTTAAAGAATTAAGAGTTTACAGTCATTTTTATTGTCTTTGGATTGAGATTTACATAGATTTTTAATTAAATTACTTATTTTATTTGTTTATTACTTCTTTTATATATATATATATATATATATATATATATATATATATATATATATATATATATATATATATATATATATATATATATATATACACTATATTTCAAGTCATTTAAATTACTTATTGAGTAACCAAGTTATTTTTTTCCTTAAAAGCAATTATAAAAGTGATTTAAATAAAATTTTAATGATGCAATTAGTAAATAATTACTTTTTGGAAGGAACTTACTGAGCACGTTGTTTTGTAGTCTTTGGTCAGCTCAAAAGAAAAGCATGTATTAGATTTTTTTTTTCTTATTTGTCCCCCCTCAACTTTATATTCATTTTCTTTGATACAGAAAAAAGGGACAATGGTAAAATGATGACCATGTATGTGCATTTATTCTAAACAACATACAGCTACATAAACAAAATAACAAAAAAAAAAAAAAAAAAACACAAACACATGACATGGTCATCCAGATGAATATGCACAATAATATCATATGTAAAAAATAAAGTGCAAATAATAATAGTGAATAATCAAATAAAATAATATACAATATAAAGTTAATTTAATATACAATGGGAAGAATAGTGATAATTCCTGATGAGTAATGAATTCAGACATTTCACTTCATTTTACTTTAATAACCTAGAAGAGGACCCCAAGTTTTATAGAAGTCACCAGAAGCTTCTTTTATTGTTTGTCTGATTTTCTAAAGTTTAACAAAATTAATACAAAATTTAAAAAAATGTCTATAATCCACAAAGAATGGGTAGGGGTTTAGGCAATTTCCAATTTAATCAAATTAAAAGTCTTGCAAGACATATTTCTAAAGCTACTGCACAAGTCTTTTATTTGGTAATGTTGGGGGAGAAAAAGTTCTAAATTGAGCTGTAATAGCCAGAGGTTTGATGTGAATATTAGGAGATTTAGATAATATTTTAAAGATCTGTGGCAAATAATTAGTGGATTCTTTTGACACTACATTTTGCATAATGATTTTAGACATTTGTTCATTTGACCTAAAATCTTATACCCCCACTATTTGTTAGGTGTGAAACCCAAAACTGGCTGGGCTGTGGATCCATTTGGTCACACTGCGACTCAGGCTTACCTGCTGAAACTGGCCGGTCTGTCCAACATGCTGATCCAGAGAGTGCACTACTCAGTGAAGAAACACTTCTCCTCTCAGAAGACCCTGGAGTTCTTTTGGAGACAGAACTGGGGTGAGCAATTGATTGACCTTTTTATAATGTCCCAATCAAAATGCACAAGATTGGATTTTTTTGTCAGTATTAATATTTTTATGGCTTCTGACTATTAAATCAAATCAAAATTGAGATTTTATGACACTGTTTTTAAAGCAAGACACCACTAATTAAAGTGAATTAGACCGTTATCTGCTCAATCACAAGTATCAATTTATAAAAAAAGAGTTTTGATAATTTTCCTATTTAAAGCTTCTGTAGTTACATTGCGTACTAAGACTAAGCGAATGATAAGTTTATATTATCTAGGTCAGGGATTCTCAACCAGTGGGCCTCAGCGATCCTGCTGGTGGGCTGCAAGATTATTGTACTATAATTATTTAATTTCATTATTGATTACTTCGGACTCGGTGCAAAAAGAGCCTCACTGTAAAATACAGAATTATTTGTGGCTGCACTTCCAACCACAGCACTTCAACTAGAACTACATGCTGACCTGTATAAAGCAAACAGTCATGCAAATGTAAAGGTAATAATGATTACAGTTATAACCAGTTTGCACGTGCCTCACGTCTGCGACTCGTATCAGAGTCGCACATCTCTGTGCGACTCGGTGGTTCATCACTGGAAAACACCCAGAAACACTCAATCACACACATACACCACGGACAATTTAGCTTGCCCAATTCACCTACACAGCACTTTAGACTTGTGGGGGAAACCGGAATACCTGGAGGAAAACCTCATTCTTTACTTTTACTTTCACTCTCGTGGATAGGTAAATGTGTTGTACACACAGACAGTAGCCTACATAATTAATTTTGTTTGTTAAGCCAAAGATTTGTGTCAAAAATTGTCATGTTGGAAGCGTTTACACAGTTTGCTGTTTTAGGGGCGTGTTGCTTCACAGATTCGGCTTCCCGTCCATGGTAACAAGGGGGCGAAGCCAAGAGCTCCTACGCTCTGTGTTTGCAGCAGACAGGCTGACAGACAGAGAGCTAAGCTAAGCTAGGATGAGCATTCAGCCGTACATGTACGAGTCGGAGACAGACCAAGCAGAGAGTACAAAATCATTTGTGTTTTTGTAAAGTCTAGGTGTACAAGTGCCGAGCTAATAACCACACACACTGAATTAACTTTGACTGAAGCATCGAATGCATCACGACACGGCACACCAGACACTAAGTGACGTGGCAGAAATATGAAGTGTCCCGAAACTCCGCGCCACGCGTTCTAGAACTCCAAACACAATCCTCCACCAGGGCAAACACAATGGCGCAGCACCGAGCCGCTGACCTGAAGCTCCGCCGCATGCACCCCTACAGAAACCCGCGCCGAGCCGCTGACCTGAAGCTCCGCCGCGTGCACCCTGACAGAAACCCACGTCGATCTGCCGCGTGCAGCCCAACAGAAAGCAGCGCTGAGCTGCTGATCCGAAGCTCCGCTGCGTGCACCCGACAGAAACCCACGCCGCTCCGCCACGTGCAACCAGAAAGAAAGCCGTGCCGGGCCGCTGATCTGAAACTCCGCCGCGTGCACCCCGACAGAAACCATCGCCACTCCGCCGCATTCACCCCGACAGAATCCCATGCTGCTCCACTGCGTGCACCCTGACAGAAAGCCGTGCCGAGCCGCTGACCCGAAGCTCCGCCGCGTGCACCCCGACAGAAACCCACGCCGAGCCGCTGACCCAAAGCTCCGCCGCGTGCACCCCGACATAAACCCACGCCCAGATCTCCGAAATGCACAGCGCCGCGCAAAAGGTACAAGCAATAAATCCGATTACAGCGATAATGTGGAGAATATTGATCTTGTGTTGAGCCCAATGAGCTTTTCATCAAAAAATAGAGCAAGGGTGATACCGCTTTGACTCACACGCTAAAAATGGCGGACGTGCATCAAGAAACTGAGGATATGATCGTGACACAAGGCTGTCAATCAATATTGGTGGGCGGGGGGACCGCACTCCTACATAAAGTTGCGGTCGGTCTGAAAAACCGCTCCAATTGGTCCACCGTTTTTTTGTTGTTAAATTGAAAAAATGGACTGTGTGTGTTTATATCACCCTGATATGACGGTCTGTACACTATACTTGCACACATGTCTGTCCAAACAGCTTGAAAAGTAGATTTTTCACCGTAGGTGCCCTTTAATTAACTGATTTTTTTTACAATGTACTTGTATAATTGTGCTTGCTTCAGCCTTAATACGGCAGCAAAATCCTTGATCATTACACCAGAATGAGAGCATATTTCCTAGCCATATCCAGTGGTCTCAAGCAAGTGCAATGAAAGTGCCTTTTGCCAACGAACTCACTTTTTTTGGGCTTTTTTCACCTCAATGGGAACTGGTGCGGTCCTGAACAATGCTGATGGGTCTGCAGTCTGTGGATATCCATTTAGTGATGGAATCAGTTAGCTTTGCAGTTTTTTTGTTGACAGGCCTGCGCTTCTGCAATCATCCAGTGTTCTTTGATGAGCACGGCTGGGTGATGCTGTCTCTGCACTGGCATCTTTGCTAACATCCGCAGAAATGTGTTTGGCCCGAAGATGGTACTTTAGACTTGTTGTGAAGGACAGTTCATCACTAAAATAAGTGCACACACAACTTTACATTTATCCAAACTTCCATCTGGAAGCTTTTTAGAAGTAAACTTGCCATTCAGCACACTGGCCATTGTGTCTTGAGGCATCAAATCACTGGCGTTTGCTGTATTCTGTATTTTGCCTTATGAATGCAATGATGGCAAGAAGTTGAGTTCAGTCCTTATGAATGGATTAATTTAAGTTAAAGAAATATTAATTTGTTAAAATTTACAAAATAATTAAATGTGGTATCGATTAACATCGAAAACCCTAATATATATTGTTGAAAACTAAATGATTATTTTTCTTTTTTAAATATTTCTCAAGTGATATTTACAGATTAAGGAAATGTTCACAGCCTTTCCTATAAAAGTCTTATTTGGTTTTTTTTTGGCTAGTTTTCACTTTTGTTAAAAATATTATTTTAAGGTGAATATAATTAGCCCTTAAGCAATACATATTTTTTATTGTCCACAGAACAAACCATCATTTTACAATGGTTTGCCTAATTACCCTAACCTGCCTAGTTAATTATTAATCTAATTAAGCCTTTAAATGTTACTTTAAGCTGAATACTAGTATCTTTAAAAACATTTAGTAAATTATTATGTACTGTCATCATGGCAAAGATAAAAAAATGAGAAAACAGTATAGACTTCAACTGTATATACATGAGACCCTCCAGCATTTTATGATTCTGCGATTACTGAATTTAATTCAAAGTCAAGCAAATGTCGCAAAATTGTGCAATTAAAAAAAAAATTGCCACAGATTTCCAACATATTTTGGACAGTTGGGACGATGTTCAAATTTCCTGTATACCACAGAGTGCCATCTACCAAAGTCCCTTTAAGGCAAGTCATTTCACTCGGCGGCCATCTTTGGAACGGCTCTGTTTGAATGGGGAAACATCAAATTCTCCAAGACTACTTGCCAAGCTTACTATTACATTTTATATTATGATTAACCAATAAAATGAAACAACAACTGTCTATTTAGTTTCATTCCTAAATGTTTGCATGACACAAAATCTGCAGAAACTTAAGTCTGGTCCCAGCCCCTCTCCCGGAGAATTGTCATTCTATTGCGATTGCTGATTAAATGCTGTACTAGATGTTGGGCTTTATTCTTCATATATCGATCGCTGATTGGCTCCTGTATTAGAAGGCAGAGCTTTATTTACCATATTGACAGTTACACTTTTCCCCATTCAAAAGTAGACGAGTGACAGGTCTTTTGTATTCTAGAGTTTTTTTTATCTGCCTAGTTTTACGTTCAAAAACGTTACGGTAGTTGCGAATAGAATGTGCTCAAATTCTGGAAGGACTGATAGATTCATTCATTCATTTACTTCGACTTTTCGACTTCTACTTGTGACTTATCGTTGTCATGATTAATCATGATTGAGGTTTAACATAAGGTAGGGCAAGTCAGACACTAGAAAGATTTTTAATGGTTATGATGTGATGAGAAACTGTAGTGTGAGGTGACATGAATAAAGCCATTGATCCATTTAGACGGAAGTGACAAACTACCTGCTGTTTGTATCAGTTTTATACCTTCTCTAAGCTCAAATTTTGTCACTGTTTTGGAGCACACTAGCTCATAGATATTCTAAAAACAATACTGATTCTAACATCTAAAAAAAGTTATTTTAATTTCACTGGACCTTTAATTACTATACATGTAGCTGTCAAAATTACCCTATGCATTTCAGTGGTTGGTAATTTTTCTCGTGACTTTAAATATGCATGCCTCTGTTGCCTAGCAACTTCCTGCTAACAAAAAACATAACTTTCTGTTGACAAAAACATAGCTTTACTTCAGTTATGTCTAAACAGTAAATTTGGTGCCTTCTCCACTGCTTGTAAAATTGAAACTAGGAATGCAGCAATACCATTTTTTTGGAACCGATGTGATTACGATACCAAAAATCTGTGTATCGACCGATACAGATCCGATCTGGATACTGTGCCTTTTTTTTTTTTAAACATTATACACTTTCTGTAGTTCTGGTGATAAACTCAAATACTAAATCTTATTTAATAAAAATAACACGCCTATTGTATATGACAGACGACACAATCTTACTAAAAACATGATTATTGCTGTAAACTAGGCTACATTATTTAAGTATTCGTTATGTTTCCTTAAACTCCCTAAACAGCAGGTCTGGTCTTTTAAATCAAATATTAATATAAATAAAATAACCATTAAATATTCAGTTTCAGAGTAGCCTATATTAGGCTGAATAATGCTCTGTTAATGACAATTCATATTGCGCCTGTCAGTTTCCTTTTTATTCATTTAATTAGCTACTTTGACCACAATGAGCCAGGCTTTGCAAACTGTTCACAGTACTGAAAGTAGGAAGGATGAGAGAACAAACTCTTTGTGAGAATAATTTTACAGAGAAACAAACATTGCGTCACT